GAAAGAGACGGATTAAGGGAAGATGATATTAACTTCAGCTAAATTTTTTTGTTATATTATGCCAAGAGTAAGTTCACATGCCACTAAAATTTCTACATCTCTTCAATATCTTTCTAAAAAATAGTTTATCTTCATGAACCTATCTGTCCTCAAACAGTTTCCCTGTAATAACTCTATTAACTAAATATCAAAAACTTGTCCAGTTGGTCCTCTGAAGAAAAGGTGCATCATCAAAATAGTCTGTGAAATATTCCACCATGAGGTGATACTGCACTGCCCCCTCCTCCTGTTTTCCTGGACACATTTAAAGCGCATGAGGTACCCAAGGTCCTGTGTACTTGTGCATTTCCAAATTCAGTAGACTAGAAAGAAATTCTACTACAGCTTTATTAAAAATAAATGTTCTACCAAGCTAACTATAAATGTGTTATTTTATATTGCTCTGTATTTTTACCTTTAAATGAGTTGCAATTTTTTGTTGTAGTGCAATGCTGTTAAAGAACTTCTATGGTGGGTTCCAGAGCAAATCTGTGGCCCCACACATGAATAGGATCCACCATCTTCCAATATGAAAGAATCCATGCCAAATGTAATATTCTAGTTAAACAGACTGTTACATCCTAATCTTGGAACTGACTAGACACACATACCAGCAGTGTCAATGAAATCATGGTGCTCTGTGTACATGTTAGGATCTACCTAGGTGTGGTGGACCACAAGATCCAGGCCTTGTCATCAAAAATGGTGTGTAAATTTTGTATCTCTACAAACCATTATATTTGCCATGAACAAATTAAGATTTTCCCCTCTTAAAAAAAAAACCCCTAACAAGTATCCAGAAAGAAATGAGAGCACAGTGACTTGTGCTGCAAAAAAGTAATTTTAATACTGCGAGTATCAAGTATCTACCTATACATGGACACTGCCTGGCTGTTGCCACTGCTTGCCAGCAACGAATCCCACGAACCCTTATTGAAAACTAGCTGCTTATGTAGTGGGACTGAAACCAGTTTTGATATTATCATAAAGAGTGCAACCTCAAATATTACCTATTTACCAATAATTTTCTACTGTAGGGGAAAAAAAATCTCATACCTTCCTTATATTCAAGACTGCATCTTTTTAACTGAAGCTGTGATTTAAAGCTGACAACTCTTTATCAGTGCTCACTGTCTTGCAGTTGTTTAAATCCGTTTTAGGAATGGAGCTTCTAGTTAAAAGGCTGCAGCTTTTAATACAGAAAAGGTCTAAAAGCTCTAAAAGCAGTCTACAATTTTTTCTGAAAAGAGAGAGAGACAAACTTGTACTTTGGATACAATTAAAAAAAAAAAAGTGCTGAAGCCAAAATGAGTTAACTTCAATATCCATGAACAACTAACAATACTAGAAGGTCAGAATGAATTTCATTTAAAAAAGAAAACCCTTACAATGTTTAATATGGCCAGCTGATGAGCTGGAGAAAGCAACAAACTCAGCTCCAAAAAAGTTTCTTAGAAAGTCTGTGGCTGGTTTTTTTTTCCCTAAAAGGACTGCTGGTTGAACAGTTAATCGTGATTAAAAAGGTTAAATGATACCTTAACAAACAGTGTAATTCAAGAAAAAAATTGTGCAAATTGCATATTTGAAATGCTCATCCTGGCTGAGGCAGCCTTCTTAGCGCATGGTGAATATTCAGAGAGCAGATGGGGCATTTTCTGAAAAGCACTAACAAATTAACTGAACCTTACTTCAAGGCAAGGGATTTATTGCTTTTATCATCCCTTTCCTCTTGCACTTATATAGCGTGCAGAAAGTAGCAACTGTAACTACTCGACAGTTCTGATGTCTTATGATACAAAATACTTTGTTATTACATATAAACAGGAACCAGTTAGCAGAGAACCATGATAAACCCTATTATTTATACTCCTCCCTGTACTATAACTAAATTTGATATGATACATAGGATCCATAAGATTGTTAGCAACTAATCCAATTTCCAGATTTTAAATAAGGTATATTAGATTAAGAGTATTAATAAATAATTTGAGAATATAAATGTTAGAAAACTGAAACAAAGATGTTTCAATTCAAGAGGAAATGAGAAAAGCCTACCAAGTAAAATGTGTAAGAGCAGAGCATAAAAAACTCCTACAAGTGTGTGTGGTTAAGACAGCTATGCTCGTTCTAGAATTTTCCCTGTCAACAGCAGAATGCTTGTAAACATTTTATGTTGTCTACCAGCTGAAAATTTAGAGGAAAAAGCAAAATTAATATTTGTTATGGCATTCATTAAAATGTTTCCAGAAACTGGCAATGTTGTACTTGGATCTTTTATCTGATTGTAATCTACAAATCCATTGTTAGCTGAAACTACGTGTGTTAACTTGACTATGCAAATGTGTGTTTGCAGACAAATTCTAATATTTTCAAGTGAAGTCAATATTACATTTTAACTAGAATTATGCCAGAGATCAGTTATACTGAATGAGAGTTATCATGACACTAAGTTTGTAAAGGAGAGTCATCTTTTTATCAACCCTAAAGCCAAACCTTTAGAAGAACACATTCTCAGATTGTTTTTGGTAACTACAGGGCATCTAAGTTCCTTATTTTTTTTAATTGAATTAAGAGACTAATGTTTTTGCATCCTTACCTTTTCACTGAAACACTCAAGCAAGTCTTGGACATACCCTCGCATTTCTTGCAAAAATTTATACCGTTCACCAATACCCCCAGAAGACCCTTCTAATCTTTCAATTGCCTTGGCAGAGTCCTCTCGGCTTTGCTGATGTTTCTCGTATTGCTGCCGATTTGCTCTGTGCAAGTCTTTCATGGAGTCCAACCTAAGGAACAATGGATAAATAATAAGTTTACATCCAAAAGTCTACAGACACGCAGACTGTTGAGATATTAAATTGTTTCAAAGCAAGATAGTACAAGTACCAAATCTGTATACAGTAACTATTTTAAAGATACATTCACTACTGGTTGCTTGTCACTTCTTCTCCCTTCACCTTTTCTTATGAGCAATGTTAGTAATTTAAGTTAAACTAGACTTTGCAAGGTGCTGTGCACTGTTGACTCCTGTTTGAACTCAACAGAAAATGAAGGCATGTAGAACCTTACAAAACACAGCCATAAGGATATAAACTAGAAGCAAAGGCTTTGTGATAGATCTAGAAAGAAACACAGTCTATAAAGCAGCTTTCATTATACTGAGCTAACTGGACTCACCTCAACTAGCAAAGTTTGTAAGACTACAAGGGGCATACAAACCAGGTTTGAAGACACTACAGTGTAAGTTGGTCACTCTAAAGAATTTCTCATTGCAATTGGATTGTTCAGTCAGTAGAATCTTTTGGATACCTGACAAGCAGATTACAATGTTTAAAACTTCAAAAAGGTTTTTCGCCTGAAATCTAAGATAATTAACTATTCAAGAGAAGATCTGATTTCCTTTTTATAAGAATGTTAGTTGGCAAGCTAAACATCTCAACTGTCCTTTCAATTCTTGACTACAAGACTTTCTCAGTGTCCAGAAGATGCAACTCAGACCTGTCTTCAACAAGATCAAATGGCCACATTTTTAAAGCTTCACTTCCAGAGAAGTAATCCGAGGAGGCTTTCGATCAGAGTTTCAATGCCATCTTCCTTCTGTTTGTTTTTTATTTTTAAAAAAGGATGAGCCAGTCAGTAGTTTTCCAGCGATGAATTTCTGAATTTGCTCACCGAGACTAAAGATGCCTGAGGGAACAGAAAGCTAGGGGACAGGTCTTTTAATTCTAAAAAAGATTGTCTGCCCTACCTGTCTTTAAGCTGTTTCTTTACCAAATCAATAGTAACAGGAGTCATCTCATTACTGGGAGTTTTGAAAGGAACTGTATTATCTGTTTTTTGAGACTTGGTCTCCGATGATCCATAAGCAGCGTAAGTGTAAGGAATGCCATACGATGAACCATAAGACAATGTCTGGTAAGTGTTCTGGTAGTACAGATTATTCACTTCAGTAGGCTGACTTGCTTGAACCTACAGAAATGAGACACGTAATATACACAATGCTAAAGTCATTCCTCCTTTTAAAAACATTGAAATTATTCAAAAGTTAAGCTCTACATATTACAAAGAAAAGTAGAAATGTTATGAGATGGACAAAGCATCCTAACATTGTGAAAGAGTAGAACTTACTGCCAATTGGCTGTAACAACTTCATGTGCCCATTCCTGTTTTGCAATAAGTGAAGCTAAATTGCACTAAGTTAACTGTTTCACTCAGAAATGCTATCCCAAGCTTAAAACTTCCACTCACTGTAGAACAAATGAAAGAGCTACAACAGATTCAGCTGAACTGCATTACCTCCTGCCTACCCCACCTTAAAACAGCATAATTGTTGAGCTATGCAAACACAAGAGTTACTCAAATATCATGACGGTTATAAAACCGAAACACTTTCTATCACCTACTAAGATGAGCAGGAACAGCTATAAGGTAGCATTGCTTCACTGAGGAATGTCCTTCTTGGCCTTGTTATTATTCTCAATAAAAGTTTGCAGGAAATTACTGAAGGAGTTTTATTTTCAGCTAGTCTACAACATCCAGGTATTAGATACCCTAAACTGTACTAATTTCAGCTGTCAATAAAGCTCAACACATCATGAAGGTTTTAACACCATTCAAACCAAGCCAAAAACACTTCTAGTGCCAATGAGAATCCCAACTTATTGGGCTAACAAAGCATGGTCCCCAAGGGGTCATAACCAGGCTTCAGGTATATCTACCATTTCAGGCTGTACAAGGCCATCATGTAACCTGGATTTTTATTTAGATTGCTATCCAGGCTGCTGTGTTTGCTGTAGTTGTTACATGTGGTAGCTAAATTAAACCCAGAGTAGATCAGACTATAATGCTGCACCATGCATTCAATTGTAGCATACTTTAATATTCATAGATAGTGGGCATCTCAGGTGACATGCCTTAATGCTTTACTTTGTTATAACACCTTCCCAGTGTAGGTTTGCTATCGCTCCCACTGAAGTCAAAGACAAAACTCTCACTGACTTTAGTGACAGAAACACAATGTAATGCATGCATAACAACCTTTACACAGGAAGAATAAAAGCAAGACTTGCTTCAGAGTTTAATTTCTACTGGCCTCAGTTTGCCCGTAAGCACTGGTCAAGACCAACCCAACAATGATTATCCTTCCATGATAGGTGGAAAAGTGGAGAAAGAGTATTAAAAGTCCCACCTCTCACTTCACGGTGACAGGTCATTTTTATCAATTCAGAGGATAAACTGAACAACAAATTTCTTCAGCTCACACAGTATCATTCAGTATAATACTTGTCTAAGTTTGCAAAAAATGTAGTTGATATATGCATCCCTTTTAACTAGTTTGGAAATAATTTCTTTAATATTTGAACACATGCCTGAGGTATGTTAATTCCTTTCCGTATCTGTTCTTGCTCCCATCGACTGAGTTCTTCATCCTGTTCCCCCGTTACTAGTGCTTCATCATCGCTTCCCTCAATACCTGAACACACAGGTAAGATAGACAGGAAACAAACAAAAATAAATAATAGATTCATACGTAGCTCAAGAGTTCACAAACCATGGGACATGCGTCACCAGTGGCACATAATCTTGATGTTCCATCCATTTGCTCCCACAACAATTTAAGGTGGTTTGTAAACTGTCATAGTACTTTAATTCCAATAGACAATAAATAAGTTAATGGCAAGGATAAATAAATTTCTGGCAAGGGTGTAACGCTTGTCCAGCCCCACAGGCTGTGTGATTTACATGGGGCCAGTCCTCAGAATAGATTCAGAGCACAGAGAAGCATCAGCTTGCCCACAGATTGGAAAATTTGGCAGCTGCAGTGTTAACTGCTGTTGCTCCCCGAGCTGCAGGAGCCACCGGTCCTACTATCACCAAAATTTCCAGTCCTGTGGGGAAGCCCTATGACATGGTTCTGTGGACTATATCCAGTCTATGAGGCATATCTTTGATACCCCTGGTTTAATGGATCAAGAGACTTAAAGCAATTTTCTAATGCTTAAAGCCTTTATATAGTAAAATCTTGCTAAACCATCCATTCCTAGGAGATCCATTTCACTAGTCAGCTGGCAAGTAAACCAAAGAATAACATTTCACAAGGTTATTACATACATTGGTCAAATTAACTTAGTTTATACTTACTAGACTACTAATAATTTTTACCTTCAAGTTCCCAAGACATTACAGTAGAATACCACACTACTAAAATCTGGCTCAAAGAACAGGGAAAGATTACCTATTATTTGCAGGTTAGGACATATTTATTAGTTGGGCCGCTTTGCACTAAATTTTTTAATTAGGATTCAAGATTATATACCAGAGGTCAAACACAATACTCTATACCAAGGTATAACATATATTATGATAAACTAGAATTTCAATTAGTTACATAAAATGTTTTGTTTAAAGTTTTGTAAAGGCCAAAGTAATTAGCCTGCAACACAAATAGTTTTAAGCACTTATTTACACTACAGTAAAATCCTTGTTATCCGGGATTTTACTAACCAGCATGTCTGGATGTGGGGGACAGGGGGAGAAAGCTCGCACATGGCCGCCACCACCCCTTCCCCCCGCCCCATGTGCAGCAGCCACTACCCCCTCCACCCCCAGCCCCATGCTCCGCAAAAACCCTGTGCCCTCAGGTAACCAGAATTTTTACATTACTGGCACCCCCCATTCCCCACTTGTGCTGGATATTATGTTTCTTAAAGACACTTTACCTATTTCTTCTGCTATCTTCTGCCTTTGGGATTTTTCCTTCACTGAAAAGACTATTCTCCTTTTTTCGTCGTCATCCTCATCATCGCTGGCATCATTTTCATCTTCTCGAACAAGGCGGCCTTTACCTGGCTCATTGTCAACTGGCGTAAAGTCCCCAAGTTCACGGGCCATTTGACGCTTTTTCCTAGCAGCATGAATAAAAGCAGCATCTGGAATTTCTCCTGGAAATATACATTACATATTAAACAGTCGTTACAGCCAAAGTCACATTGCAACTCCTCACTACTTGCCTCCTGACAACACAGGACAGGGAAGAGAGGTGAACTGACTGGCCTACAACAGGGAACAGGGCACTAGGCTGGGTTTTCCCTGTTAACGACATTACTTTTCAAACGGAAGCAAAGCATAACTCTGTACATAATATACAAGAGTTTCAACACCTGGTGGTAGCTTGTAAAACAGGGGCGGGCAAAATATGGCCTGTGGGCTGGATCCGGCCTGCCACACCATTCTATCTGGCCTGCAGGGCCCCTAAAAAATTAGTAAATTAATATTTAATTGCTCCTGCTGCCTGTCAAAGCTGACAGGAGACGGGCAGTAAGACCCAGGGGGAGCCCTCAGCAGAACTGAGCAACCCATCCCTGCTCCATCCCCAGCCATTTCACTCTCTTCATACCCCTGCTCTGCTTCAGCACCATGTGGCTCCTGGCTGTATCACTGGACCAGGGAACACAGGACCAGGCCGGTACATGTGCACATCCACACAGGCAGGGGCTGAGTATGTGTGTGAAGGCAGGGGCAGAGAGAGAAAGAGAGGGAGAGAGTGTATAGGCCGGGGCAGTGTGCATGTGTGTGTGTAGGCAGGGGCAGTGTGCGTGTGTTCATGGGGTGAGCCCCAACATACACACACCACGATACACATGCTCCCATAATCCCCCTCGCAGTGCTGTACACACAGACCCCCACACCTTCTCATATACCCCAGCCACCCTCCCCCACAAACTTAAATGCACCCCCCACAATATACAAGAATAAGACTTCATTTTAAGCTATTGTGCAATCACCAATATGTACACTACACAAATGCATGTAAATGAGGACAAAAATATTTTTTGAAAACAAATTAATGAATGCTGTAGATATTTGGTTTTTAGAATATAATTTGGTATTTTTCTGGTTCCAAGATGGCAAAACCTCTTGCTGAAAGGAGTACTTCCATGGGCAAAGGGAGGGACTTCGGGTGGCAAAGCTAGAGGGCAGGACTTCTGGTCACAAGATGGCGACCAGGGAGCAGGGCACCTGTCACAGGTCAGGGCTACCTATGCAGCCCTCAACAGCTTGTCAAAACTCGCTAAGGGGCCCTCCGCCGGAAATAATTGCCCACCCCTGTTGTAAAAGGTGACAACTGTACATATTAAACATCTCTAAGCCTTTGGGACAAATTACAAGAAAAGCAGTAAACTGCTAGAGAAGAGTGATTACCCTCCAGGAAAATTTTGGTTCATAGGATATCTATTACCTGCCAAAAGTATAAATAATGCAGCCAAAATAATTTAAGTATTGCACAATTATACATATAGGAAGACCAAAAAGATTACAAAACAAACAAACAAAACTAAGAGATAAAGGATAAAGCAAAAAGTATTAAAACATACAGGCAGAGTAAGCAGGATGAGGATATGAATGATTTATCTATTTCAGTGTATTTATTCTTATATGTATTTTATTCTTGACTCAGAAAAGGGTAAGTATGATAGAAGGGAGGTAAAAATAAGAACAGAATGATCAAAAGAGTGAAGAGAAAACACTTGTGGGGAAGAAAGGAACGCAAGACTAATGCTATGGGAAACAACTTGTTTCCCTTCATTCTAAAATCAAATGAGAAATATAGTTTAAATGATCTGTGAAGTCAGCATTGGAAAGAAAAGTCTAATTTTATGAATTACAAATTTTGAAAGGGCAAACAAAAAGCTATTTTTTCTGTATAGATGTGCAACTGAAGCAAGGATAATCACAAAGGTTCCTAACTCTTAAATATATGGCACTACTATTAGTACTTTCATTCTTTAATACTCTGAGCTCTACCACAGGGTTGCTCAACCTCCATGCCATGGAGCCATGGCATCTGGCCTGCAGGGCTCCCCACAGGTTGGGAAATTTGGTGGCATGGGAGCAGAGGCAAGTAATATTGCCACTGCCCCCACTCCTCCTGGCCTGCTGCCAGGCCATGCCCTCTTCCCCACTCATACAGCTGGATCAGGGCAGAGGCACCCCCACATTCCCTCCAATGCAGCTGGATCAGGCCCCACTTTGCCACCATGCACACTGAGGCTCATCAGCCAAATCCAGCCTAAGATGGGAAGAGGTTGGGTACCACTGCTCTATCGTAACTAGGAAGGTGAGCCTTGGCACTTAGGGCCCAAATTCCTTTTCATCACATCTGATTCAAGAGTCCATGTTACAACTTTCAGTGACCCTACAGGAATGATTCTCAACCAGGGTGTTGGGATACCCTGCAGTGCTGCCGGATCCTTTCAAGACTGCCATAAAGCGTGAGGATTTAGGGTGCCATAAAGTCTGAGCCTGCCTGGGCACTCCTCCATCCCTACTGCCCAGCCCCTGTGTAAAAAGGTAAGCACAGTAAATTAATAAATTAGTTTTGGAAATTGGGTGCCAGTCAATTCATAAAAGTTATGGAAGGGTACCTCAAGTCTGACGAGGGATGCCTTGAGTTCAATGAGGGGTGGTGCCTCAGGTCTAAAAAGGTTGAGAATCACTGCCCTAGAAGCACCTTCAAAGCTGAGCCTTGCAACTGTTACAAAACTAGATTTTACAATCCAGGTTCCATCACAATTCAGAGCAACCAAAACTTGGACATTAATTGCACATTATGGGCATTGGTGGTAAAGGTGAAATACCACATTCGAGTACATACAAGACAACCCTGAATAAGACAACCCCCTAGATAATTAGATTCTATACATGGAAAATGTATACATTTTTATAATTTTCCAGGTATAGAATTATGGAAGGTTTGCTTTGAATTTGTCCCCCTCCCACTATACAGCAAGGAAAATAAATCAGGAGGGTCAGGTACGTGCATGCTCTCTACCCACCTAAACTACTTCCCCCTGTAGGCTTTTTCCCTCCCTCCAGTCAGACCCTGCTCTCTCTGAGCACAAGGAAGTGAAGGGCAAATTTACAAACACTGACCTTGAAATATACCAAAACATACCTGTAGTAATTTGTATAGAAGCAAATTACTACAGGTACCCATGGACTTGCATCAATTCTGGATGAACTATTTTACCTTTTTTGAAAGTGCTGCAACTTTTAGCACAGGTACTCCATAAACACAATTTTTAAGCAGCACTTTAGCACCTACCTATATATAGTACAAAATATGCATTTTATTTTTAATTTTATGTCTCAGGACAAATTAGCCAAATCAGTTCCAAATTCTATCCACTGAGCTCAGTAGTTCAAGTCTGTGGTGCTACCACCAGACTCTTCAGTCTGGGGCTTCAGATACTACCAAATCCATGACAGGCATCCTATTGCAGGCCCCAAGCCCAGAGACTTTGGAGTTCAGAATCAGCCCCCATCTCCCCACAAGTCTCGCTTGCCCACAGCTAAAAAAACAAGCTAGGGAGAAATCCCCCACCTCCATAAAAATAAAGCATGTAGCCGAGATCCATTTGGAGGCTATAATAGACTCTCATAGAGAGCCTGCCTGCAGTGCATTGGACAAGTCTCTACCCTTAACTACACAAAGCCATTCAAGGTGATCTCGGCCACTTGAACTGAGCGAAAGCTATGCGTGATATTAGTTCAAAACCAAAAGGCTCATGATTTATCATATAGTTCACTAGGCTGGACCCTAGCAGAGCCAGTGTTTCAAAGTCATGGTGACCCCATAGCTCAGCACTAGTCACTATGTGCGAGTTCCAGATACCAGAACTGAAAAAAAAGGATCCATGTGCTAATTAGCCCCCACCCATGACTGGAACCAGGTACTCTTGTTACAAGTTCTAGGATCCTCCAAAATGTATTTGCAAATGAGGTGTAGGACAACCTTATCTAGCTCCACTTCATAGAGGGCAGGGCCACACTAATCACATAACAGGCTGGAAGGGGGAGGAACCCTTACAACTGTTCCAAAACCAGATTTTACAATCCAGGTTCCATCACGATTCAGAGCAACCAAAACTTGGACATTAATTGCACATTATGGGCATTGGTGGTAAAAGTGAAATACCACATTTGGTGTTTACCCAAGGATTTTGGGTGAACTATTTGGTGACATCTGCCAGATATTTAAGGCCAGGGAACAAACAGGAATCACTGGAAATGGAAAAGAAAGGAAGCTCAGCTGTGGGAAAGAGGAAGTCGAATTGTATTCAATGTAGTGGCTCACCATGACTTGAAAAAGAATTAGCACTAAGCGAGACCATGTGCAATGGGCACTACTATACATCTTATTTGTCTGAATAAAATGCACTTGGCCTTTTGGCTCAGGTCAAGCATATTCCCTGTTCTTAGGCAGATGAAATACTATGATCACCAGGCCAAGATCACCTTAAATGGCATTATGTGGTTAAAGGTGCAGACTTATCCAATGCACTGTGGGTAGGCCCCCTACAAGAGTCTACTATAGCCTCTAAAACAGGATTTTGGCTACACGCTTTATTTTTATGGAGATGGGGGATTTCTCCCTAGCTTGTTCCTCTACCTTTTTGGCTAGGGGCAAGTGAGACTCGGGGGCATCTGAACTCCAAGGTCTCTGGGCCTGCAATAGGATGCCTGCCATGGATTTGGGAGTATCTGAAGCCCCAAGCTGAAGAATCTGGGAGGGAAGATACTAGCTCAGTGGTAGCATCACATAGACTTGAATGACTGAGCTGTGCTCAGTCAACAGAATTTGGAACAGGATTTGACCAATTTGGCCGGAGACAGAAAATTAAAATAAACAAACAAATAAAAACATCCTTGTGGTAGGTTTCCATCACCATCTTGGCCTTTTGGCTAAGATCAAATGTAGCAGCATTTGCGGCACCAAGGGAAAGGTGTCAGGGCTGGCGTTGGGCCTCTTGATGCTGGCCTGATATTACAGTACCTCCAATCCCAATGTCAGTTCCCTGAGGAGGGAACACTCGCACTTTTTTTTTTTTTTTTTATGGGCCCCACACACATGAAAAATAAAAAAGTTCTATTGGTATGCTTGCCCAATATAAGCCATGTCTTTTATAGTCATGCTCAGTGTTGGTTGCATTTAATCAACTTCATAGTTGGTTTCCATTACTGAGGACATGCTGCTTTCAGCAGCAGTTCAATGACAGACAATTTATTTAAGGAAGTTTCCTTGTATGTGGATGTAAAGGTACAGGTCTTTTTTTCCTGCATGCTGATGGGGGGAAATAACCTTGTCTGGCAGCCGAGTAAACATGGTAACAGAATTTTGAGGTTACTCTATTATTTCACAGACTTGAAAGGGCCAATACTGCAATCAAGAGGTAAAAGAGTTGTTTTTTTTCTTTTTTAAAACAAAAGAACAGACTCCAGGTTGAGCTATGATTTGATTCGTTTTGAAATACTGCCCAATGATCGTAACATCTGAAAGAAGTCAAACACTTACTCAAAAACTTCATTCATTACTAACTCAATCATTACAGTTTAGCTTTCCTTCAAATTTGCCACTGGTAAATAATGGTAATATATATTTAAAAATAAAACAACAGTATACAATACACAATCCAGTTTTCAACACTTAATTTTGCACCTGCACTGGGAAGGTTAAGGAAGATATTCCCCTGCCCAGGTACCAATTTTTCCATTTTAAGCATTACACAAACCATTTCCAAATCCACTAAACTATACAAGGAAGCACAAACCTGGACGAAGAACATTCAGAGAGGACAGAGCACTTGAAAAAGCTCCTCCAGCTTTAGGTTTTTCTTCCTCCTTTTCACTTTCAACTTCCATCTCTTCTTCTCCTTGTTCACTATTTGTAGTGCCATCTTCTTGACTTGCATCCTTAATCTGCCCAGTTTTCTCTATAGGTGGTTCAGCTGCAAGATAAAACAACAGTATTTCACTTTTTTGTGCAAGTCATTTTAAAAGAACACACTTACAGAAGAGTAGCAGATATGCATTTCTTTTACTTAAGTGAGCTATCTAAAAATATATGTTCAGTAATTTCCAATTGTTAACCTTTGAGCTTAGCAAAAACGCTGTCTCTTATTTCATGGCTTCAACAAAAACATTACAATCTTCACATTCAAGTTATACAGTCTGACTGCTCAGCTATAAAGACAACCACAGCAAAAAATTTTTGCCAAGTCCATTACTGAGAAATTAAGAAATGCCACAATTAAGGTTGCTTGTGCAGCCTTCAGGAGCCCCTAATGCATGTTAATTATGTGATCACATACTTATTTCTGCATAGGACCCAGTCAGATTGAGACGCATGATATTTTGCTAAGTGCACAGCTATCCAACATTTTATTTTGCCTTCATTATTCAGTTTGTCATCCCATGACTTGCTTACTGTAGATTTATTAACTTTACTGCCTACATAAATTAATTTCAAACCGGACTTTTTAAAAATTATTTTAATCCCTGTAGATCCTCTACATACAATCGATCTTTACAACAACCCTGCAAGGAAAGACATACTGACACATGGCTGTGGTTGGGTAAGAAGTTGGAAACCCAAAAGATAAGGAAACACACCTCGTGCCTATCTGCAAAAAGTCTGCTTGAGGGGACTTACACAGCATCACATAGCAATTCTATGCCAGAGGAAAAGAAAACCCATCTGATTCATTCAGCCAAAAAAAACTATTCTCTTTCTTCCTGCAGTACTTTGCCTTTGTGTATGGGCAACTTGAAGTCTGGCATCTCCTACAATTTGAGCATTTGATATGTTCATATATTCATAGATGTAGGGTCAGAAGGGACCTAAGTAGATCATCAAGTCCACCCCCCTGCCCTGGGCAGGAGAGAATACTGGGCTCATATGACCCCAGCTAGGTAATTATCAAGCCTCCTCTTAAAGACCCCCAAGGTAGGAGCCAGCACCACTTCCCTTGGAAGCTGGTTCCAGATCCTAGCCGCCCTGACTGTGAAGTAGTGCCTTCTAATGTCCAGCCTGAACCTACTCTCAAACAACTTATGGCCATTATTCCTTGTTACTCCGGGAGGTGCTTGGGGGAACAGGGTCTCTCCCATTCCCCACTGGTCTCTCCTGGTAAGTTTATAGACAGCCACCAGAATGGGTACCTCAACATTCCTTTAACAGAATTTCTTTAATTTCCCTTTCTTTTTAAACTAAACTGAAAAGTCAGAACCGTTTTCACATGACTTATGTACAGGATTAGAACGTTTAAAGCACTGATCTTTGACACCGGTGCTAATGAAGTAATTGATATCAGCAGCATATTGGCATCCTTTAAATCAGTGGTTTTCAAACTTTTTTTGGCTGCATACCCCTTTACTTGCAAAATATTCCTGCTCAAAACCCCTATATTTGATGCACTTCTATATGCTTATTCCTTAG